TTTGCTTTGAGATTTATGTCTGGGACCCATCCACTGAGAATTAATGAGCCGGACATGTTTTGGACCAATTAGAGAGCTTTGCTGAGAGGGTGAACAGCCGCATCTCCTAACTCCCGATCCAACGATTATGCACAGTATATTCTATATAAAATGAAACCATATCTATCCTCAAAATGATCACGAAATTGATTTTGCAGAGTTTTAGAGATGATTCTGGAGCAGACACCCTGTTTTTTTCATCAGAAGCAATCACCAATGACCAACCAGAGATCAAGCATATTTGTCCAATCAGGTGTAGGAAGTGTACTGCTGTCTATACTATATATTCACACAACATATATGGCTGTAAGTCTGTCCGTCCCAGAAGACGGATCTTTGTTGCTCTCCAGCTCTGAGGTTTCTCCTTTATTTCTGTTTTTTTAAAGAGTTCAAATCAAGGGTTTATGGATGGATGGTGCTATGAGTTGTCCAGATGTAAAGCCCTCTCAGAACAATTTGCAATTTCAGGCTATATGAAAAATGTACTTGACTTGTTGATGTATCCATTTAAGCCTAGCAGAAATAAAGCTGCACCAAGCAAATGCCTACTGAGCATTGCCACATCAGAAGAAGCAAAGAGAGAACTGGGGGCTAGCTTTGCGAGGCTATCCAAATAAAGGTATGGAGCAGATCTAAAATGTAGTTTTTTGAAATGGCAGCAGAAAAGTTGTCTGTATCTACACCAACCTTTTAGTGTTACTTGGCAATCACAGGAGGCCCTCCCCACTTCGTTCTCAACAATGCACTGGTACAAGCCGACGTCTCCTGCCTCTACCACCAGCACCTGCAGGGCTATCAGGTCGTCTTTCACAGTGATCCTGTGTCTCTTGTCATTCCTAACTGGCTTTGTGTTTTTATAAAATGACACACTGAAAGGGGCGGAGCCAGAGACTTGGCCCTCCAGCATCATCTCAGAACCTTTGACTACATCTTTGGGCTCCAGGCTACGCACAAACAAGGGTGGCTCTAGAAGAAACCAGTGAATGTGTCAGAACATTACACTGGACTACATAAGTATGACACATGATGATACCTGATGAAAGTGCAAGGAGGAGCATTTGTAAACCTAAATTAAACCAACCTTTGACGGTGACTGTACTGCTGCAGCGGTCACTACCAGCCTCGCTGGATGCCACACAGACATAATCTCCACTATCCTCTACTGTACAGTTGACTATTTCAAGAGAGGCCTCTAAGTCAGTCAAGGCCATTGTGTATTTAGGACTGGAGCTGATCTCCATCTCATCCTTGAACCACTTAAAACTGATGACGGGGCTGCCCGTGACTTTGCACTCCATCCTGGTGGAGTCGCCACTGGTGACGAGCTTGGTCGCCTCAAGCTTCCTCACAAACACGGGAGGTTCTGAGAGAAGAGGTTAACATTCATCATCAGACAGAAGACATTACGTTAGTACCAAAAGAGTCACTCAAGAATGTCCAGACACTTTCATGCAGCTGCACACGACACTGAAGACAGGCACCTTTCACAAAGAGGACTGCAGTGCAATCCACCTTCCCAGCATCATTGGACACTTGGCATGTGTATTTAGCAGAGTCACTGGGTTTCACTGAGTTGAGCTCCAAAGAGCTCGACGAGGCATCTTTCTTTATGAAATATGTGCCTCCAGTTATAATCTCTTTTTCCTCTCTGAACCACTTCACAGCTAAAGGAGCTGTTCCAGTAAAGGCTGCTCTGAAGGAAACAGTGGTTCCTGGTATAACATCCTGGTTGTCTGGTTTCCCTGTGAAAACTGGGGGCTCTGAAGGCCACAAACAAAACAAAGTTTGCATTTCATGTTAGCACGAAATCATTAAAGTATTGTACAAAACAAATAGAAGCATTAGCCGAGCACTCATAACCTTTGACATAGAGCGTGCCGCTGGTTTCTTTGAAGCCGGCTGAATTGTTGGCTCGGCATTTGTACACTCCAGAGTCAGCCTTCTCCAGCCGAAGAATTCTCAGTGTAGCAGAGCTGTCTTTGAAATCAGGCTGGAATTTGGATCCAGACATGATCTCCTGGTCGTCTTTGAACCAAGCTATGGTCATGGGTTGGGACCCAGACACCTTACATTCCATGGAGACGTCATTATCAATGTTACCATCAACTCTTTTCAAAGACTTGGTGAATGTTGGGGGCATTATCCGATCTGGTTGTTGAAGAAAAAGCATCTCATGCATTAACACAGTTTCATTCTGTTTTTGAAAAGAATCACTCTACAATCCAAAAGCAAATGACACTTCACACTGTCTTTACTTACGATTTAGTCTATACCAACGTTTTAATTATAAGACCTTAGTGTGTTTCCATGTAGTTATAAACATAATCCATAACTATAGATGTTGTTAGTAACAAAGACTTGTCTTATTGTCATTGTTTCTAAAACAGCAGGAGCATTGTCGAATGTTAAAGAAGCAGAAAACAGAAGCCAACCTAAGACAGTGACTGAGCATGTGCACTGGTCTTTCCCAACTTTATTCGACACTTCCATCTTGTACTCTGAAGTGTCTCCTCTTTCTGCCGTAAGAATCTTCATGGTGGCAGTATTGTCCTTCAGAGTCATCTTGTATTTACGGCCACTGATCATCTCTTTCCCATCTTTAAACCACTTCACTTTGAGCTCTGGGCTACCAGAAATTATGCACTCCAATGTGGCTGAATCCCCTGCAGTCACACTAATGGATTCTGCAGGTTCCACGATTCTGGCAGGTTCTGGGATAAGACAGACCGATTAGTTTTTAAGATGTTAAGAGTTTAGACACAAGAAGCCATAGAACTCCATATCGGAGCAAAAATCTGTACAAGACTCTCTGTCTCTAAGTCATCTGACCTTGCACAGTCAATGTAGCTTCGCATTTTTGTTGTCCAGCTGCATTCTCAGCTTGACACGAATACTTGCCGCCATGGCTGATGGCCACTGTTGTTATCGACAAGCTAGCAACATTGTTCTCAAACACCATCGTGATGTTTGGATCGTCATCTCTCAGTATTTCAGAGTCTTTCATCCATTTAACAGTGATGGGAGCTGAGCCCTTAATGGTTCCCTGTAGTTTCACTGTATTTCCCAACACTGCTGTGGCACTCTCAACCCTCTTTGAGAAAGTTGGTGGTTCTACAAAAACACATTAGGTGTTAAAAACGGAGTCTGTGATTAAACCTCAGACAATAATACAGTTTTATTAAACTAGGGTTTACTAACCTTTAAGTTTAGCTATGGCCTTAGTGGTGACTTTCCCCACATCATTAGATATGACACACTGATAATCTCCAACATCTGCACTTTCAAAGGTCTGGATCTCCAGCCTTGACAAGGACTCTTGGGAGACTATTTTATATTTCTGGTCACTGGTGATGGCTTTCTTATTCTTTAACCAGCTGATTTCAAAAGGAGCCGTTCCGGTGATCTCGCACTCCAGCTGAGCTGCTGATCCCTTCACCGCCTCCACTGTCTGCAGGTCTTTTCTAATGGATGGTGGCTCTGGGTGTCAAAAGGGTACGTGTATGCAGTTAATACCAAAGGTTTTCTGGACTGAACAGTGATCGTTAAGTAAATGCAAGATTTGACAAACCTTTAACAGCTATAAGTGTATTGCAGCTCTCGCTGCCAGCATTATTTGACACCTCACATGTGTAACTCCCACTATCTGTGACCACAAGGTTCATTATCTCCAAAGTGGCAACTCCGCTCTTGAAAGAGATTTTATATTTTTCTCCATCACTGAGCTCTCTCTCATTCCAGAACCAGTGGATATGAAGTTCGGGCGATCCTTTAACAGAGCACTGTAAGCGTGCAGCTATACCTTGTTTCCATGTAATCTTAGGTTCCATTTTCTTTACGAAAGCCGGGGGCTCTAAACGGAGTGTTAAGTTCAAAAAGATTTTTAAACATCAACAGAGAGACAGAAAAAAACAAGATAACCAAGACAGAAAAGTGCAAAAAAGAAATGCAGTAGAGAAGACAATAAGACAGCGGTGCATAGTGTTAGCATCAGCTTGCAGTTGGCTGAAAATAGTCGTCAGCAATAATCCACTAGCTCATTTCAAGAGATATGTTTTGGTCAAAGCTAACAGAAAGATCATCTTTAAGATCTTACCTTGAACTGTTACCACAGCCTCACAGGATGAGCTCCCAGCCTCATTTGTGGCTGTGCACACATACTTCCCAGAGTCCTTTACTTTGGACTTGGGTATCTCAACAACAGCCACCTTGTCCTCAAAGGACAGTTTACAATCCATGCTCTGGTGGACTTTTTTGCCATCCCTGGCCCAGGTGACAGTCACACCAGTGTCCTCGTCCACTTGGCACTCCAGCCTCAGCGGGTCATTGACAGCAGCTGACACTGGCTCAATGGTCTTAACAAAGCTGGGCTTGTTGATAACCCTGAGTTCTGTGGTAAAGGTAGCAGTGCCGACACTGTTGGAGGCCTTGCACAGGTACACTCCTTGGTCAGTCAGCTCAAGACTTTTAATGTTAAGGGAATACTTGTTCTTTTCAAATTTCATGACATAGTTCCCTTCAGAGGAGATGGCTATGTTGTCCTTGTGCCAGACAACTTCCATGGGTGAGGATCCAGTGAGTGAGCACTGGAACACAGCCGGTTTGCCCACATATAAAGTCATTGGGTCTGGTTTTGATACAAATACCGGTGGGTACATTTCTATGGAGAGCAGGTAGAACATACAAAAAGTTGAACGAATTTTAAGGAGTGGAAAATCAAAAATGAACTAACTTGTGCAATCTCAACTTGGTGATCGATGTGGGTTTAAACATGAGAAAATATGATCCTCAACATTACGTCTTGCCAAACGTGACAGCAGATCAAGTTTATAAAGAAAACATCACTTCCACATTGCACCAAAATTATTCAGATAAAACACAGTGCAAATGTGTATATAATTCTCTCTCTCTCTCACACACACACATAAAGCAATACTTTAAAAAAGGTCCCTCCGGGGTCTTACCGGTGACAATGAGTGAGGCAGTGCAGCTGTCAGTGCCGTGCTGATTTGAAGCCTTGCAGGTGTATTCACTGCTGTCGGCTTTGACCGGGTTCAGGAGCTCCAGGGAGGAACTGATGTGGCTGCTAAGGATCCTATACTTCTCACTTTGTTTGATCTCAATGCCAGACCTGTACCATTTGAAGGTCACACTCGGAGCATCCTCGATTTCACATTCGAACTTGGCGTGGCTGCCGATGTTTATCTCCAGAGGTGTGATTTTCTGCCTAAAGACAGGTGGCACTGAGGCACAAGCAGACAAATTGAAATGTAAATGTTAGTAATTGAATATATGTAAAAGTGACAGATCAGAAACAGGAATGATGGATGGACGACAATGGTGGAAGGCAACTCAGGAGTGACTGTGGAGGAGAAAAATAGCAAGAACATTAGCCCCATGATTTCACAAAAACCAGCCCAAAAGAAGATGCTATCATTGTACGTGATTCTCATGGGGCTAGAGTTCAGGCTAAAAGGAGGAGAAACAAAAGAGTTTGTGAAAGATGAAGCAATGTCAAGTTGAAGCCCTGAAAGCATGCAGAGAAGCACTGGAGATGTGGAGAGAATGGACCTAAAGGAATGTGACAGACCATGGGTTTAAAACAGAGGAATCTGTTGCCACCGGCATGCCAAAGTGACCATGGGAAGACCATGAACGTTGCCTGAAGGCCAGAATCATGACAACCATTATTGCAAGATGCTTCTCGACTCAAGAGCCTTAAGCTAAACTTGCATGGTTGTGACGGTTCTGGTCTTTAGGCAGTTATTGACCATACAATGATGTGGAACAAACAAGACATGGTGAGTTAGTACCATCCAGTGACCTGCTAAGGGTGCTCATGCCGAGCCATGAAATGAATAGAGAGACCAAAGTGACAAACGCAATATTTTATGTGAGGACAAAGTTCTTGTCAGTGCCGTGCTGGTTTGAATGGACCAACTTGTGGTGTGTGAATGTGAGTGATTAGTCGTTCTCAGAGAAAATGGATGTATGAATGAATGACACATTGATTGTTCCTGTTATCAAACCTCTTGAGACCACAGTGAGTCTTGAAGATGTTGTAGTCCTGCCGGCTTCATTCTCAGCCTCACAAACATATTCTCCTTGATGCTTCTCCTTGACAACTTTGTTGATAACCAATGTGTATGTGTCGTGGTCTTTGGAACACTTGAACTCTTTGCCAGATTTCACCAATTGCCCATTGAAAAACCAGTTTACCTTTGTGACATATTTAATGGTGGTGCTAAAGGTGACTTTACTATCTTCCACGATGGATAGGTCTTCAAGGGATGTGACCATTACAGGACATTCTCTCTGTTCTGGCCTGACTACTGTAATCTCCTCTTTAAAGATCTCTTCCCTGTGCTCCTTCTGGATGCAGACATCCGCCACCTGTTCTGTGGGGATGGTGGTGGGGGGCAGGGCAGTGGTAACGATAGCTGCTCCTACATCTTTATCTCTTTTCACTGTTACTGACCTCACCTCCTGCCTTGACACCTGCACCGACTGCTCAAAAGCCATGTGATCCTCGGTGGACATCTTAATCTGGGATGAGACAGACTGTTCTTTCTTTGCTGATTTTGATTCTTGCACCACAACCTGGTGCTCAGCTGCTGCACATTCAACTACCATTTTAGATTCAGTCTTGAGTGCAGCAGACGAAGATTTAACAGCAGTGAAATCCACTGCACTCTCTGCCACGCTCACTGTCTCCACCATGGATGACAGCATTTGCTTAGAGCGGGCCGAGGTGACCTGAGCCCTTTGAGGTTTGTCCAGCTGCATAGTGCCTGGCTGTTCTGAAGTTAGAACATGGGCTTCCTGGTACACTATGGAGTGGAAAGCCGCCTGGAGTTCAGTCCTGAGGTCAGCTGTCTGAGGGTATTTACCCTCAAAAGCCAGAGTGATCTCCATGGGGGCCCCTGTTGTTGTGATCAGGTATGTAAACATAGCCTTCTTGGGCTCTCGTTGAACCTTGACTTCCTGAACGTCTACAGCCTGTAACCTTCCTACGACGTCAGCCAGTAACACTGGTTGGTCGCTGGCCACAGCAGACTGAAGGGCATCTCTGAGCTGACGCCGTATATTCACACTGGATGGTTTAGGGATCTGAATCACAAACGTCATCTCTTTAGGAAGAGCTGTGCTGTCTTTCGATTCTGAAGCCATAAGGGACAGTTTCGGCTGTGTGGTGACAACGACTTTAGTAGACTCAGATTTGGTGATCTCCTGAGAGAGCTCACCTTTCAGCACTCGCTTCTCATCCATAACTATTGACTGCCTGACTGATTGGCCCTCCTGGATTTGAACAGCAAAGTCCTGTTCTGCTGCCTTGAGAAGGACACTACTCTCAGTGGAGATCTCTTTCTCCTCGATCTGGACTGGCTCCGTGGGAACTTTTGGCTCTACAGCCGTCTGGCAGGTGAATTTATCCACAGCTGCAAGACTCTCAGTGTGACCCTCCTCTAAGGCCTGACTGTCTGCCACACTGGTGACATGCATCACATTCAAGCGATCCTCCTTCTGCACCAAAGCTCGCTGCTGCTTGACATCTGTAGTTACTGGGGTCTCCTTTGGCAGCTGCATGGGCTGGAAGGAGACCTGGAGGATGTTTTGAGGCCTGGGCTCAGTTCGAAGCTGAGACTGAATGCCAGTCACTGACAAATCCAGCTCGGTGTGAAAATCTGCTGTGAGCTCCCTTTGCTCTTCCAAAATGGCAGCATGTCTCCTTGCCTTTTCTTGTTTCTGCACTGCCACCTGCTGGTCAGGCTTCTCAGTTATGAGAATACCCTCTTTGGGTAGTGCCTCCACAGGTTGGGTTGACTGGAGATGCAGCAGTGTAGGGGCCTGTTTCTGGGGCTGGATAGTCATGGTGCTAGCCTTGGCCTCAAACTCTGACGTGTCCTCACAGACTACTGTCCTCTGCTCATCCTGGCTAACAGTGTGCAGCAGAGTGGGACTCTTACTGGTTACTGCCTGTTCTGGTGCAGGTTTCTCACAGGAGAAGCCCTTCTCAGATGGAAGGAGGTCTTGGTCTGTGATAACCTGCAGGTGCAACAACTGCTCTCCTTCTACCTGTGACTGAATGGACATGGCGCTGTCCAGACTTGGCAGCTGCTGAGTGGGCTCAGCCTGCAGCGTTTGCTTCTCTTCAGCAGTTAGAGCTGCCTTCATCATTTTATCTTTGCAGAGATGGGCTGTCTCCTCAGCAGGCCTCTGGATGGAGAACTTAGTCTCCTTGGAAAGAGTCTGTTTAGACTCGTTGACTGAGGTCAACATTGGCCGGTGCTGTTCTTTCCCAACAGAAGACTTCACAGCAGAATCTGTTGTTGCTAGTTTAGTTGTGTGGCCCTCTGCAAGCACCTGTTTCTCTGCATACTGGGCTGAGTATAAAATCTTAACGCCTTCCTTAACCTTGTAACCTTTCTCCTCTTGTGGTTTGGGGATATCCTGAGACTGCTCTTTTAAGATGGACAGTTGTGACTCTACTTGATGCCCACTGACTAGATGTTTACCTTCTGAGGTGGGTCTGACAGTAGTAGACTTCCGGTCAGCCAGAGGCTCTGTGCTAACAGTAGAAAGTGGGGTGAGCTCCTCAGCAACCGCTGACATCACCATTGACCTCTTTTCTCTGGCTGCCTGAAGTTCAGTGACCTCAGGGCTTTGAATGCGATCACAGTGCTGCTCTGTGAGGTCCTGACTCTCTTCAACAGACGATGTAAACGCTGCCATGTGAAGCTGTTTTGCAGGAACAGCTGAAACCTGAGGTGGGTGGGTAGGAACCACAGACACCCTCTCCTCTATCTCATGAGACTGAAGCACTGCTGCCCGGTGGGTCAGCTGCTCGCGATGAATAGTGGCAGCAGAGATATCTAGTTCTCTAAGGGAGCCAACTTGCTCACTGGGAATTATCTGCCGGTCTTCAGTGCCGATGGTGTAAACCATCTGATCTGCCCTAGCTCTGTCCTGGCCTGGGAGGCTGACTTGGTACAAGCGAGACTCTGTTGCCTGTTCTGTCATTGAAACCTTATAGCCTTTCTTCTGAACCACTGTCATCTGTTCCTGTTTGTGAGAAACAGAGACTGGTTCTTTGAACACAACGAGCTCAGCGCTACAAGATGCCTCCCCAAACTGGTTGGAGGCTCTACATGTATACAGGCCACTGTCTTCCTGTTTGACGCTCTTAATATTGATGAAGCCAGATGCATCTGGGTTCGCTATAACAATACAGTTTGAACTGGGCTGGATTTGGAAAGCCCCCTTGAACCACTTCACATCAGGGACTGGATCACCACTAGCTTTGTAATTAAAATAAACCTCTCCTCCTTCTGAGCACCGTACAGGTTGGATCTGAACTGTGAAAGCAGGAGGTTGGCCTGTGACCTTAAACATCTTCTCAACCCATTTCTCCGCCTGGCTAACATCAGGCTTTTTCACCTCGAGGTATGTGGTGCATGTTGTCTGGCCAAATCTGTTGGTGGCAGTGCAAGAGTACTCGCCCTCATACTCAGATGTGACCTTGGTGATAACTAAGGTATACTCCTCCTTCTCTTCTATAAACTTGTAAATAGTGGAGCTCTTTATGACTTTTCCGTTGTGAGACCACTGAACGGTCGGCTTTGGAAAGCCGGACAGTTTAACGGTAAACCTGGCTGTTTCCCCGGTGGTTACAGCTGCTGGGGAGAGCTGGCTGAGGAAAACTGGCTTTTCTTTTTTCTTCTCTAAACTGGAAGAGTAACGTTTGGTCTCTGGCTTGAGTTCAAGTGTTTTTGTTTTCTGTGGTAACTGGACACCAGTGTAGTAGGTTTCCTCTTGTTCTTCCACAGTGGTGATGGTGGTGCTACAACGTTCTGTTAGGAAATATTGAGCAACACTGATAACAATATCCACAACACAACAGCTTTGATATTAACAGTCAATTCATTATAGCAAATATTAGGGCTGTCCATAAGAAATTCTTAGTCGACTAATAGTCATAGGATTTCTTCCAATCAAATCAATAAGTTAACTAAATAAAACATCTTGACAAGTATTACCGTGCCTCTGCAGATGCAAAGTCTCCAAGACAAATACATACATGAATAGCTTTAGAGGTCTGGTTGCAGTTTTTACTATTGAAAACCAGCTGAGTCCTAATCCATCTAGCAAATCTCTGTTTACAAAGACCCTACTTACCTATTAGTTGACTAAGCAATTAAGATGGGACAGCCTTATTATAATACGCTACTGAGTTAGTTTGTGT